AACGATAGAAACACCAGATGATTTGGAATATATACTAGAAAATAGTAAGTAGAAAATATTTTTAAATTATAACTGTACAAACTAACAGTAAGTTGCTTATATTTACATAACGTCACTAAAACCTAACTGTTAATGTAAAATACTCATTTGCCTGTGTGTCTGTGTGTTTATTTCTTAATCTACCCTCAGCGGCATCGATCGACGACCATCGCTTGCAAGTTACCATTCCGCTAATTTCTTCACAAACTAAAGTAAATTGTGGTGATTCCACGACGATTGATGGCGGTGGCGGTGGCGGACATTTGTAGATTTCTATACAACACGTAGATTTTATAGCATATTTAAAATTAAGATATTTTAAATTAGAAGCAGTGAAGCAGCAGTAAAGTAATATTTCGAGAAATATTTCTAATCGGTTTCCTTGCAATGTTTGGCTAATGCTGTTCTAAGTATTTTTACATTCATGTACATTTGTGTTTATATAAAAGTGGAGTTGTAGCAAATTTAACGGTATTTTGTTGAGAAGTTTGACTTTCTTATTTTGGATAAAGTTTGCAAAGTTTATTTTCGGGTTTATACGGTTAATATTAGCAACTGCGTGGCGAAAAAATTGAAAATGGATTCTTAGGAAATCAGAAGAGAAATTTTATTTTATAATATGAATTGCCAAAAATTATTTATTTTTAATTTTTTTCATTTATTTTGTTCTTTTTATATATTTTTTTTTGAAATTTGCCTTATTTTTTTAACGATTTGAAGTTAAAATATGTTAGTTGTACCATTTTATAAAAGTTCAATTTTTTTAGTTAACATTTGTAATAAGAAATTTTCTTAAAATCGATTTTATGTGTTGGGGAAATCCTTTTAAATGAGAAAATAAAATTTATATACATATTTTTTTAATATACATATATAGATCTGGTCTCCCAAATCAGTTTTTTTTATTTATTTTTTTTCCATTTGTTATCGGTTTGGTGTTAAAATTTATATGTTAGTCTCACAATTTTATGAAAATACAATATTTTTAGTTTACGTTTTTAATAAGAATATATATTAATATAATTTTTTTATTTTAAATGTTTATTAGGAACAAATTTTTAAATCGATTTTTTGTTAAAATTTTTATTTCATTTTACAATTTCATGAGAATCCATTTCCTATTGTATTGACAAAATATCGTCTTTTTATATTTACCATTTACAAGCTATGTACACAAATTCATATGGTTTTTGTTCCATTTTTGCACACTTCATCTTAAAAGTTAGGTTAAGTTTTAAGCACAAATTGGTTAATGTAATAAATAAATATTTATTTTTTATAACCAAAAATCATGTAGAAGTGAGTTTAGCATTTTTTATTGAAATAAATGGCTTTATACTATTTTCCTAAGTGTATATCAAATTTTCTTCCTAAAGTCCCATTGAAAGATAATTACTAAACAATATTGTCTGATAGTGCCTTACTATTATTTTTTCCTTGGTTTTTTTGTTTTTTGTTTTATTTGATTTCTGTTCGTGTAAAGAAAATTATTTATGTTTTTACGGCATTTGAAATAAAATTTTTATCTAAATTTTTAAGTAGAATGGTTATATTTTTGTTTACCTCGAAAATATAATACTATTTGAATCATGTCACAAATATCAGCTTTTCTTGTTTTTTTTTGGAAGTTATTTACCATTCATATATCATGTAATGCTCTACGTTTTAGATTTGTTAACCACTTTTCTCTTATATTATTAAACATTGTTTAGGTCTGAAGATAAATGGGATATCTCTGACTTACAATAAACATTTGCGAATTTATTATGAGATACAAAGACTTTAGAACCCAGAATAATGAGAGCTGAAAATATGGTCAAAAAATAATTTACTAAAGCTTAAATCGTTCTACTAAGATATAATTTTAGCGTTTTGTTGTTAGGTTACTTAAGAGCGCTGCTGAATAAATAAATGTCATCAAAAGCTGTTCCAATAAATCATTTTTGTTGTGAAGGTTACAACAATTTTCAAGTTCAAATCAAAGCAAAGATAGGAAATGGTGCTTCAGGCTAAAATTTTGACAACATTTTTTCTTATAATAATTATTTCTAAATTATTTATAAT